TGAATGCCACAAATTCTCCTAAATCACTCGTACGCACAACTTAAGAACAAATTTGTGCGTACGAACGGTTCTTGCATGAGGCCCATTGTCCTGACCACAAATACAGCTAAATTTCTAGGCTATGAATGCGAGAGGTTCCGAGTTTAGATCCAGGACAAGCCCCCAGTTATATTACAACCCACTGGCTCAACAGGATGTAACATTATGAAACCCAAGACAAAAGTAGTGCGAATAACTTAAAAATATAGGTTTATTTAACTGAAAACAATATGTAGTTGGGGAGAACCACAGCCAAACTGCAGCCTGTAGCTTTGAGTGGAAATGAGGGGAGAGCCAGCCCAGAGAGTTTGCCTCCCTCAAATAGGCTGCTTACACCTGCAGGTAGTAGGGATAAGTACAGGTAAATGTATAAACTGCAAAACAAAACAAATACACACACCCCGTAACACCAGGTAAATAAAATAAGGGGCTTCTCTAGGTGTATAGATTAAGCAGCCTGTCATAGCTTCATAACACACAGCTCCTTTGCCTCGTGGATGAGCTAAGATGACTAATAATGGGTCAATGCTCATGTCATTCTTTAACTGGTTGCTTTCTGCTCACCAGCATACTGCATAAAAATGGCATTTCTGTTTACAAGATTGTCCCAGTACTACCTTGTTTGTTTTTCTTCTATTCCATTCCATCAAAGGCCCTGTCACACTTTAACGATGTAACCTATAACACTGAAGATGGAAAAATAAAATCTACTAGCCTCTTTTGGACGTATACACACTAACGATTCAGCATAAGTTGTCCACAAAATTATAGTGTGACAGGGCTTTAAGGAAGCCAGTTCTAATACAGTATCTTGTATCTTTTCATTAATTAAAATTAGTTTGACATAATTACTGAACCCACTTTTGTTTTCTGCTCTCGCTCAGCTGATGGGTGTCGACACTGGGAACGGCACAGTGGCGCCATGGAGGCCCAGGCCCAGTGGGCTGGGAAACTTCTGCAGGAGTACCAGAAACGAGCCGAGGCCTGTGGGTTTCCTCGACCACATGCTGACGTGTCCCAGCCGACCAAAGAGTCCTCTGCAAAGACAACCCAAAGTACGACTTGAGAATTATTGTATTGTTTTTATTAATTATATCAGATTTAAAATGGAGTTGTTGTGAGGAATGAATGGCACTAGTAATTCAACTAAACAAATCAAATCATTTAACAATCTGCTATTTTGTTGAACTCAGTTCTAAAGGGGGTCATGACATCTGTTTAGCTCTCATCTGCTCCATCTCCATGACAATTTAGAAAATCATCCATCCACTTCACTTTTCTTGTAGAAAATATCCAGTTGCCCTGCTGATGGAACTATTTTAAAATTATGTAGGCATATCTGCAGGTCATTTAAGAAAACACCTGAACGGCATGATCAAGTTCAAGTTTATTTATATCGCGCCAAGTCACAACATACGTTGTCTCAGGGCACTGTACATAAAAAGAACAATCTAAAGAAGAAACCAGCAGGCTGCGTTGAATCACTTCATCACAGTCTCCCATCCTGAGCAAACGGTGGAGAGGAAAAACTCCCTGCTAATCAGGAAGAAACCTCCAGCAGAACCAGGCTCAGGACAGGCAGCCATCTGCCTCGACCGGCTGGTTGAGGGACAGGAAAGAGACACAGGTAAACACAGAAGAACTGGTCCAGGACTGGTCCAGGTGCACCTTCTTCTGGAAGACAAAGAAAAAAACATGATCGAAATAATTACAATAAACATTTAAAGAAGAGAGACTAAAAACAACAGCAGAGTGAAGAAATGTGCTCAGATGAAATACACTTTCATTAAAAATCATGAACACTGGTTTGCTGTCATCACCATAACTTGTTACATATCTTCAAAATAGTCTATCTAGTATTTTAAAGGGATTCACAATTAGTTGTAAGCTGTTGTCCTCCATCCATATTTTCAGTTACAGGCTGAGTCGTTTCTACCTTCTCCTCTATGTCAACACTCTCTGGTTTCATTTAAAAGAGACAATCATCAGATATTGTCCAAGATTAACCTTCAGGGTGGATATAGCTCGCTAGCAGACTCACACCAATGATCTATCGATGTCGTCGTTTACCCAGAATGCTTTGCGTGTAAATAAACGGGCCCAGTCCATGTAATATATTTTAAAAAAAATTCGTTTAAAAATTAGAAAAACAGCCTACAGTATTTTTACAGTTAAAATAAACGTCTATCAAATAAAGACTAATGTTACAACGAATCATGGATCCCTTTAATAATGAACACACAGATCTGTCTTCACAGTTCTATTTAAAATGTCTGATATGTTGGTGTGCAGCAGAGTGTTTACTCCCCTGTGCGTGTGCTTCAGATGGACAGTCCAGCCCCTTGTCTGACAAAGAGCAGGCGTCCCGGCAGAGCTCGGCTCTGAAGAGGCTCCGATCAAGCTGTGTGGTGATCAGGATGGATGACGTGGACATTCACCAGGCAAGCTTTTGTCACAATCCGATTTTCCCTGCTCCAAGAAAAGCTTAAAACAGGCTTTTTCAATGGAAACAGGTCATTTGACATGGCAGGAGGTTGCTTTTGTTACATTTAGCAGTATAAAAAAAAGGTAAAGATTTGGACCTATTGTTTTTTGTACTTAGAATCATTGTTACAAGTTGGATAGTAAATACATTGCTGTGTGCAAGGCCTTCATAGAAGTAAAGTAGAAAAAGCTTCTGGCCAAAAACAGAAAAAATAAGAATAAAATTACAGGGTCTTTCAAACGCACGTAATGCCTCAGAAATCAAACGTTTTGAGAAGAAGTGTTGGCATTTTTTAAACATACTTTCACTTCAAATAAAAATGTAAATGAGGGAAAAAAGTGCTGTTTTTTTATAGAAGGGGGAACCACACAAATTATTCTCTCCACATTTTTGCCACCCAGCTGCAGTGTGAAGCCTGCAGAATAAAACCTGTCCAGTCAGCAGCCTCATGGGGAGAGACGAGGAGCAAAAGTCTCCTTCAGATCAGCCGTCAGTGTTTTTGGGTCAGATGTGTTGACATAACGTGGTCACAAGTAAATCCTGAGCATTAAATGTTTCTTCTTTTGAACTTTCTAGGAAATACTTGTGTTATAGTAGTTTTAAAATTACAGCACAATAATTGTTTCCAATACATTTTAATGAATATATCATAAATATATGGATAAAATACCTTCAGTATTAGTAGTAATTAAAGATGCAAGTTATCGATTAATGAATTAATCTATTTTTTCATAAAAACAATTCAATCTATATACAGTAAAATAAAAGTGAATCTAAAGTTGATTGATCTTATTAATCAACTAACAATTAATTGAAAAGCAACCATTTTGTTAAAAACCTGAGTTTACCTGATTAAACTAAGTATGAAACGTAAACTTCCAGTATGTGTTTGCAGCTGGGAGATACTGAACTGGTACACAGTTTGATGGTTCAGGTTAAAATGCTATTTTATTGACAGTTGGCTGGATGTCTTCATTGTGTATAAATGCAAAACTGGAGATTTCATAGGTTTAAGACACAGTTTTGCTTTGTGTTTTGAATGCATTCAGATGTCTTTTTTTGTTGGATGTTTCCAACCAAAATACTACACTTGTACAATGCAGCTAATTGAACCAGGAAGCACTGAATATCTTTATGTTCAACAATGTGTTTCAATGAGTGACACGCGTGATGCTTGGTTGTAAAACAGCAGGATCCTGCAGCCATCACCTATATTTGCAATTTTTGCAGTCTTAAAATTTTATTTAAGGTGGCAATAAAATGGATTTTAGCGAAATGAAGTGAGGTGATGATGCACGATCTGTGATCCCTCCTGGCTGTGGGATTACACATTTATTACAGAGAGAATCTTGATGATGACACAGCTAATTTGTATTGAGTTTAAAAACTAGTTTACCACAAAATTAATCCACAAACTATGGAACCCTGTGAGGACGCTGTGGGAGAAAGTATTCATTCTTACCTGCCCTTAATACAATTGATTTGCCTTTGACTCTGATGTAGGGGTGTAAATACCTCACTGATGCATTAATTCTGTGTCATTTAAAGTGTGGATTTATGCACAGATTACGATTTCATTTGTATCACCACCACAATAAAGTTTCAGGCTCTGGATTGTTTTTTTACTTTAAGCCCTGGAAAGAAAAGATGAGAAGAATAAAATACGTGCAACACTTCACCATGCATAGAGAGATGTAAAAC